CCGCCCCATCTAGCGGCGGCAGGCCATTCCACAACCGGTTCGCGCGTGGAATTCAAATTCCCCTAACTTTTGGCTAGCACCTCGTAAGTAGGTATTTATTCAATGGATTCTTTACAGGTAAAACTGAAAACCCATAAACTGCCCAAAGGTCATTACGTCACAATTAATAAGATCGCTGGTGAAGATGGCATGCCAAGAGTATGCACAATGGCCCTTTTCTGACAAAGATATGAGCCAGTAGTTGTTAAATTGGACTGATAAGGGTCTGAATTAAATCACCGGAAATATTTTTGCATATACCCAGTATCACGTATTATAAAACTCTGTTGCGAAGTTTCGTAGACGAAAGACGCCAGAGGGCATAAGCCATATTACGATCATGCATTTATTTTATGTTTAATGCAAAATAAATCACACACAACACGTCACAAGGACTAATCAAGGATAAGTACGCTTAAGGTGCATGAAACTGCATTTTTATTTATCTGATGTAACATTCTACAAATAATAGGTAACTTCATGTTCGAAACGATAATAGTCAGTGAGGCTGCTTAAACCCGCCTGCATAATAGACTCATTTATCACTGAAAGCATAGCCATGCCTGAGTATGTTCTATGTTAACGAATCATAGAGTTTTGTTATATTGTTATAACTGTATCAGACAGATTCTAAGTTAAAGAATTCTTATTCGCTGTTTAGGAAGCTGAGGTAGCTGTCACGGAAACGTCCGTCAGGATCATACTTGCGAGTGATGGCCTTCCAGTCTTCTGGTCTGTTCGTAAGCAGGTACCTTGAAGACTTTCTAATCATCCTCTTCTGAGTATCTGTGCATTTAGCGCACTGCGTCCTCAATGCATCTGGTAGGTCAGCTGCATAACAAAATAAAGAATTAAAATGTATAAGAAAATACGTCGATGTCATAGGACCAACCGCACTGAATCACTGAAATTACTTGAAACCTGTGTCAGTAACAGTTGTGGAACCATCACGTCTGTATGACGTCACATCATTACGTCATTACCAAAATCAAATAATGAAAAGATACTTTTGCCTGTCTGAATTCGCGTGTGAAGCATTCCGTCCATTCTTTGTTGTTGTTTTTTTAACGGAAAACATTGCTCTTTCCGAGATCATGTCCGGTGAGTCTTATTTTTTGCGTCGTTTAGTCTCGTGCACAGACCCAAGCCTTCAGCTGACCTTGCATGGCGATTAGAGAGGATTTATCACTTGCAGAATTCAGTTCTTACGCAAAAATTCTCCAAGTGCCACACTGAAGAGGACAAGTAGTTTGTCCTACAGATGTTTTGCATTCATATTTAATGGCCAATTACGAGACGCCACTATCTTATAAACACAAACACTGTTTAAAATTAAAATAATCTTCTGGATCGCTTTTACTACGCGCAAAAAGTTTTTTGACAATGAAAGCATTCATCACTTTGGTAAGCTGTTCTTTTCTCCCCCAGTGTGATTTATCATCAATAAAAATGGTTAGGCTATTTGGCCCGTTTCGATCCCGGAATTAGTACAACTGGTCAATCCATCTCTTCAAAGGTCGAGTCTTTGCCTTCTTCCTTCTGGAAAGTAATCGAAAAACTTCGGAGAAATACGGTCAGTCGGCAGCCTTAAAACGTGTCTCAATATCATTTATCGGAGATATAAATTCATTCTCAATAACAATTTTTACAGGTCTCATATCAGTCACTGTTTCTACGTAATAATCCACGTGAATTTATAATTCAATTAACAGACTTCCCGTGAAGAACAGCGGAAAAATCTCACGTAACCAAAATCTTGTTTCATTAATAACCATTCGACTTACGTTTTAAATTATCGACGAGTACAAAAACACGCAAAATAAGAACAGTGGCTCAATGTTCGTTACGACGTCCTCTCTTAATTCCGTGAATAAAAAAGTATGAACGCTCTGAATCCGCTTCTATTCGCCATATTTTAAACGTCTGCCCGTAATCGAACTCCACTTTTGTTTTCGGGTCATGTAACTAACCACAGACAGTATTAAGTTGTACACCATTCACAGACATCTTACCACTTTCCGAACACAATACCTAGTCACGGTACATATGGTAAGAATTTACCGACGTTTCAGAGATACATTCTTCCTCCATCATCAGTAACTTGTCGCCCTGATGATGGAGGCAACAAACCTCTGAAACGTTGGTAATTTTCTACCAGATTACACGGTGCAACAGCCCACATATTCGCCGCCGTGAGAACCTAAACCTCACCTAATATTACACTGCCCTTCAAGTAGGATCTTCTCTTCAGGATTAACGACTATAAAAACGTCGAGTGTATTTTTAAGGTTCCATTCCTTTCTTGGCTTTGAGAACTCTGAATAATATTTCGCATTAACTTAGCTTAGCTTAACTTAGCTTAAGCTTACTTTTAATATCCTTTCCCTCCGGAGAGCACGGGCCCTTCTCTAAGATGCACCTGATGATAGCGCCGAGGGCCCGGTCATTCGTGAGGATGGCATCTAAGTCGATTTTATCGTATCGAGCACTGTACCTTTCGGCCGTCAGGACGACGCTTACCAGCGTCAGTAGGCACCACAGAGCCACAACCAAAGGCTTGTTCTCCATTTCTGAGGCCCACGACGGAATACCCAACATTTATACTCACCCACACATCACCGCCGTCCATGATAATTAGGCACATCCTATGTCAATATTTGTACAGGCTGAATGATCCTTTATTCAGTCCACGACTTTCGTAGCTCATCAAGGACGACCCGATACAAGATATTTCATCATTACTTGAAGAGAGACGAAGACAGGAGGACCATAACACGATAGTGCATGGAGCACACGTATTTCCTAAATGCCCCTCTTTCTAATTTGCATATCTTGTTGGGTTTCGTATTCATTTCTTGTACAAAGTAATCTACAAGGCCGTTATAACACTGCGTAAATTTTAAAAAATGTGTATCTTTTATTACAAAGTTGATAATATTAAATTTTAAACAACTGACTGGAAGACAAAATATTCTCAACTGCATGGTATAAAACAATTATTTTTTATTTATTTAGTGTTCTGTCTGACGACAGGTCCATATGAACAGGATCCTTCCATCCTTTTCTCGGACTGGGACCTGTTCATATACGTTCTTGGCAGATGATCCAGAAGTGGTTTGCCATTGCCTTCTTCTGTGTGTGAATGGAGGAATTGTTGGGATGCCACGGAGGAAAACTCCGTGTTGCCTAGACCACGGCCTTGCCCAACACAAGTTATAAATTCGGGCACCGCCGGGAATCGAACTCGAGACCCCAGGATTACAAGGCCAGCGTTCTAACCGCTAGACCGCCATTTTGTGAATAAATTTTAATTTGTTACCATCATGTTCAAATATTTGAGTTTTGTGATTTTCCCTTTGCGATTTAACTCCGCGAAGAAAAATAGTTCTAGAGAAGGCAACAGTTACTTGGTCAGTCAAAACGATATATCCCACTTGTGTACCCAAATCAGAGATTCGTTAACATGACCACAAGAGCCCATCACTGGCTGCTATCCTGAGTCAGATGATTTAAGTCAACAACTTCCCATTTAACTAACTTCTTTAAAATGTATTTTAATATCATACTCCCAACTGCCTCTTTCCATCAGATTTTACAGCTAAAATTTTATACGTATTCCTTACCGATGTCATTCATGCTGCATGCATTACTCATCTCACACTCATTAACTCACTCGCCCTATCAAGACTCGACTGTTTAATTATTCTGAGTGTTGCAACACATTTCCTTCTGCAAGAATTATGACACTTGCCGTGCGCCTCATTAATATGCCTTCACTTGTCTGCTTGAGCAAAATGTTTATGATCTCTTTTACTTTCGCAGACGGGTAGGTAGAATATGTAACATTTATAGTCATGCTACTCAGTCACTTTAACAAGGACACCGACAAGTGACGTGTCTGAAGTTAGCAAGACTAAAAAAAGTATGGTTCCCGTCTGTAACTTCTGAGGAACATAAAGGTTCGAGCACTTCCATGTTTCTACTGGTAAATCAGATCCGTACTGTACGTACTACCTTTGTCCTGTAACGTTAAAGTGATAGCCGACGTCTGAAGCACAGTCTGTCCTGACTGCCTTGCCGCCGCCATAATCGGTTACCCTGATGGTGGAGGCAGCAAGGACCTCTGCAACGAAGGTCAACTTCTACCAGACTAGAATGCGGTACATCCCAGAAGACAGCCATCTTCGAATTGGGTTTGTCGTCGAACAAAACTTAAACAAGATAAATAACCATTCCGGATTCCATTCTACAGTTTGAAACGTACAAGCGGGGATTTGGTATGGCACGTTTCCATGGCAATGACGTTGAGGCATTTGTGTAGTTGCTGGAAAAATTCCCTTTGTAGCGAGTTTCCAGTAACTTCAACTCCGTGTCAGTAAAGACAGACGGAGCGACAAGTTTTACTAACGTTTATTTATTTATTTATTGTGAAATAAATACGAGTGAACTCATCCACCTCCAAAATCTCATCAGAATTAAGTGGTCAAGATAAAACTCTCGGCCTCAGCTTTGCCTCATTCTTGAGAACAGCTTTTACTAAATCTTAAAAGTACGGCATAAAAGAGCATAGTAAGTAAAGCTGTCCCACTATACGCCATGTAGGCGCTTGGTGAGAGACCTCGGTACTAGATGGGGTTCAATGGTCAGCGCCACACCCCGGCCGTTCTTTATCCCCGGGAAAGTACTCCAGTATCCATTGGATATAAGAGGCTGGGTGGGTCCCAGAACCAGTCTGGACGCAGAGGCTAGAGGAGAAACGCTCCCCCGTCGGGGATTGAACTCTCCGGTCGACGATTACGTCGCCAGTCATGGTCATTCGAAAGGCTCATGGCAGGCGACTTGGATACATATTTTTTTTATCTACAAACCTTTGTTAAACTGCATTAGCTGGTGATTTTACTGTGTTCTCATGTGAACATTACTTCAGAATATGAAATTTCAGACTATGTACAGACACCCCAACTCCACACTGACTGCAGACCGTGTATGCTGTTTCTTTTTTCTTAAAGAATTCGGTTTTACACTGTTTGGTTTAGTTTCAGTCTTGTGGTCTGATGAACCTGACATCTGCAGATCTCACAAAGAAGTGGTAGCGTTCAGCCAGGAGCTTCGGTGGCAAAAACTCGCTTCTCAGAGTCACCCATCTCCCTCAGGTTACACGCCGGTCGGAATCTGTA